CGCGCGGCTCGTAACCCCATAGGGAGCTCCACCGAAGGCCCCAATGGCGACATTCGCGCGCGTCGGAGCCACCTATTTTCGGCATGCCCTTTCTCGCGGTTCGTGGCCCCATAGGGAGCGCCACCGAAGACGATATCCACAATTGCGGTACTCAGATCTGCGCATGCCTGGGTCCTTCGCCGGGCAAATTTCACTCAGACCGACTCATGCTCTGACCCACTCATCATGTCAGCTTGTTATTAACAAAGCACTGAGGCTCGTGTAATTAAGAAACCTGCTCAGGCGAATCGCGGGGGGTTGCGTCCGCCAAAGTGAGACGAAACGCGGCGTCGCACGGACTGGGGGGTGGGGGGGCGGGAGGCAAGGTCGGCAGAGGCAGGGGCCGCCGGCGCCGCCAAGACCGCGTTGTGTTCATGTTTCGCAGTCTAATCGGGCCCAGGACCTTGGAGTTCCCGCCAAGGCCAGCTCGGTCGTTTGTCGGGTGCTTCGGGGCCCGCAGAAGGCCTGGGGACATGAAAGCGGGCAAAACCTGCCAGGGTCCACGGACGCGCGTCCGCCGCGGCGCTCCGTAGCGAGTCCAAACAGGCGAGCCAGCCAGGCGCAGGGCGAAGCTCGACGCGCCTGAAAGGGCATGGGGAAAATGGGCTTGACGCCCACAAGCAAAGTTTACCCGACACTGGCAGCGGCCGCTGCTGGGCAAGGGACTCTGTGCATCGTCCTCGTTCTCGTCCTCCTCTTCCTCCTCTTCCTCCTGCTCCTCCTCCTCCTCCTCCTCCTCTTTTTCCTACTCCTCCTCCTCCTCCTCTTCGTCGTCCTCCTCCTCCTTCTCCCCCCCCCTCGTCGTCCATGCCGTTTGCCATCATCCGCGGCGCGGTGGTTCCCCGAGCTCTCAGAGCCCTGGCACGCGTGATTAAACATGTTTCGCGCCCCGCTGGGTCTACTCATCAGGCCCAAGGGGTCCATCATTTGTTAATCATAAGCTACCATTACCCAGACACGCGCACACCCAGACTATAACACGAATCCTCTTCTTCAGCCAATCTCGGTCACTCTGTCTCAGACTAACTCAGTCTCAGACTCACTCACTGGCTCAGTCTCGTCCACAAACAGGAATCACTCGCACTTCTTGTGAGGCTGTCTCAGCTGATTTGTTGGTTCCAACACCCCAAAGGGCAGCCGCCAGGGGTGATTGCACGGTCTCGTTTGCGCCCAGAGGGGATGTCTCTGGCGATATACCGGTTTGGTGGTTTGGATTTGTCTGCTTTCAGAGCCACGTGTGAAGATGTCTCAGCCGATCCGCACGGTTCAGCACCCCCAACAAAGGCGGCCCGCCAGTAATAATCGCACGGCCCGGTTCGCGCCCAGATTGTGGGGACGTCAGGCGGTATGCTTGTTGAGTGGGTTGCGCTGGTCTGCTGTCAGAACAGGTGCCTCGAACGATGTGTTGGCGTCAGCGCCTCAATGGGGGAGCGGCTAGATGATTGCACGGCCCCGTTCGCGGTCAGATTGTGGGAATGTCTGAGGCGGATTGCTTGCTGGTGGCCTGAGTTTGCCGGCTTAGCCGACTCGCCGGTTTCAGCTCACCAGAGGGAATAACGGCCGAGGGTAGTTGCACTGCCCTGTTCGCGGCCAGATTGTGGGAACGTGTTGGGTTCAACGGTTTGCTGGCTTCAATACCCCAAAGGGGGAGCCCGCAATTATGGGTGCACAGCCCCTTTGGCGCCCAGATTGTGGGGATGCCCCCAGCGGTTTGTATGTTTGGTGGCTTGCGCTTGTGCGCTGTACAAAACAGACTTGTGAGGATGCCTCTGCCGCCCTGATGGTTTCAGCATTCAGCCAGGGGTGCTTGCAGGTCAGCCCGCGGCTAGATTGTGGGGATGTTTCAAGCGGCTCGCGTGTCTTGTAGCCAACACCCCTTTGCTGCCAGAACAGATCCTCAAGCCGTCTCGAGCAATTCGCCTGTTTGGCGGCCCAGACTCTTTTGGTTTCAAGACAGAAGGTGGGGCTGTCTCAAACGGCGTGATCGTTGGGTGGCCCACACGCCGCTGCTATCAAAGCAGATGGTGATGTCGTTTCAGGAGGAGGAGGAGGAGGAGGAGGAGGAGGAGGAGGAGCCTTAGGGGGGGGGGGGGGGGGCGCTCGCGCCCAGCTTGCTGGGATGTCTCGAGCGATGTGCCTGCGTTTGGCCCGCTGGCTTCCGTCCCTCCGAAGCCGCCTGCGGGGATCGGGTCGGCGAAGAGGTGATTTCAGTGGCTTCTGTGTGTGAGAGCGTTTTTTTTTATTCGGCGTTTCGACATTGGGCGGAAGGGGGAGGGGAGGGGGTGTCTGGCTCTGGACCTGCTTACAGTAGTGCGGCTGTTTGGAGCAGTGCGCCCTGTGAGGGGAAGCACCGCCTGCCTGCAACAGGCGCCCCAGACAGCCAGGATCTGCTCCAGAGGAGTGGAGAGAGGGGGGGGGGGGGCGTGCGAGAGCCCGCGCCGATCGGCAACACAATGAACAACAAAAGCGATCACTGCACCCCAAGAGGAGTGCCGCCTGGAAGCAGGCTGCGAGGATGTCCCAAGCATCGGGAGCGGCCAAGAGGGGGGCGTCCAAGAGGGGGGGGTGCAAATCATGACCGGCGGCATGTGCGCGGCCCAGCGGGGGGGCCAGGGACGTAATGAAATAAGAAGGGGCGCCATGAAATCTGGGGAAATATCATGGCCCCCGCCATGATATCCACCCCCCCTAGTCATCACCCCCCTCTTTTCCGCCCCCGAAAGCACGGCGCCGCTCCCAACAAACCCCCGGGGCGGAGCCGCCACGGAGCCCAGGGCGTGAGGACGCCTCGGACGACGCGCGCCGGCGTCGGCGCGCCGAGGAGGAGCCGCCCGAGGGGAGCAGATGTGCGGTGTCTGGAGACAGGCGCTGGCTCCTGGGGGGCAGCCGCCAATGGGGTACTCCAGATCTCGTAATAATAGGGAGGGGGTCTGGACCCTCCAAGACAAACCATTTCAGACCCCCCCCCGTGGGAGAACCCTCCAAAACGTCGTCCCCAGAACCCCCAGGCCCTCCAAGATAGCCTGGAAGAGACCCCCCCCGAAATGAGACCCCCCTCCCTTTATTACGAAATCTGGAGTACAGTCGGACCTGATTGGAGGGGACACGCGAGAAGGCACAAGACCCTTCCGAGGGCCACATCGCCGCTGGAGTGTAAGGAGGCCCCTCCATAGGACTATCGCGGAGCGCCGGCCCCTCCATGGGCCCACCAGAAGCCTACAGTCGGACCTGATAGGAGCGGGCACGCGAGAGGATACAAGACCCTTCCGAGGGCCACATCGCCGCTGGAGTGTAAGGAGGCCCCTCCATAGGACTATCGCGGAGCGCCGGCCCCTCAATGGGCCCACCAGAAGCCTACAGTCGGACCTGATAGGAGCGGGCACGCGAGAGGATACAAGACCCTTCTGAGGGCCACATCGCCACTGGAGTGTAAAAAGGCACGTGTCGCGAGGCACAGGACACAAGGGTAGCCTCGAGCTGGCAGGGTCGACCTACTCATCCGGGCCGACTGTAGGAGACTCGCCCGTTCGCTGACGTGTTGTGGGGATGTCTCAAGCGAGGCACTCGTCTTGCACTTCAGACCCCTCTCCGTTCAGAGCCCTACGACCATCGCGATATAAGGAGCAGGGTGGCCGCCATGGAGGATCAGGGAGGACGGAGGAGGAATCGGGAGGTCGCAGGACGCAGGAGAAGGGAGAGGGGAGGAGGGAAGAAGAGAGCGGAGGGGCTACGGCGAGGAGAAAGAGGAATGAGGGGGGAGGGGACCGCCAGGAATGTGGGCACTTGCCAGGGAGCAGGAGGGAGGAAAGAGGAGGAGGGAGGACGAGGAGGGAGGGACGAGGAGGAGGAAGGAGGACGCAGGAGGAGCGAGAAAGACGACCGCCAGGCAGGATGAGAGGGGAAGGAGGAGGAGGGAGGCGGACCCAGGAGTAGGGGAAAGAGGGGACGGAGCAAGAGCCAGGAGGGGGTACGACGAGGAGGGACAGGAAGGGGAGGGGAGGGACCGGCTCACCGCCTGTTTGTGAATTGTTACCGTTGTCGCCGCTGCCACTTTTCGTAGCAGCAGTCGTCGTTGTCGTCGTCGTGCCCGTCGCCCACTTGGACTCGCTCTCGCACTCACACAGCCAGTCGCTCAAAACGGGACGTGCCAAAATCTGCACTGCATATATGGGGTCTCCTCGTCGGGAACTGTTCTCGCCTGGCCCGCCTCCCTTCAGACCGTCCAGACTGCGCTCACATTCCCGTGGTGCAAGAGAAACACCACAAAAATAACCAGCCTGTGGCATAAGGCGGACCGTGGTGCCCACAGCAAATCCACAACCCTCGTAAGTGGCGCAAACCAAACCACCCGAAGGCCAGAAACAAGTTTCCGAGAAGGCCGCGACAGACCACGCCCCCCAAACAGCTGAAAATTGCGCACTGGCCACCCTCCGCTGGCCCTCAGTGTAACAGGGGGTGGGGGTGGGGAACCTGACACGCCTCCTCCTCCTCGTCCTCCTCCTCCTCCTTCGAGCTTAGAGCTGCGGACTGTGTCGAATGATGCGATGCCTGGATGGCCCTCCGCCCAGCCAGCTGGGAGAGGGTAGAACAAAGCAAAGATGTGAAGAGAGAAGAACGAGCGACCGAACGGCGGAGCGGATCATCTGTTCCTCCTTCTCCTGCCGCGTGGCGCAGGCGAACAGGTCCTGGGCTGCTTACCTCATCAAATGGTGGCGTACCGTATCTGCAAGGGCTCTCTCTCGCCTCGTCGAGCACAAGCGGCCGCTGAACACCATTAGACTTCGTTCGGACTTCTCTGTGCCCGATATGGCACATGCTGGAACACGCAGAAACTCCGTTTTCTCCTCCTCCCCTTCCTCCTCCTCCTCGTCCTCGTCCTCGTCCTCCTCCTCCTCCTCCTCCTCCTCCTCCTCCTCCTCCTCCTCCTCCTCCTCCTCCTCCTCCTCCCCCCCGAGAGGCGCCTCGTCGTGCTGCCTGCCGTGGTGGTGGTGGTGGTGGTGGTGCCTGTGGTGGCCATGCGCTGGGCGCAGAGCCGCCTCCTCCCGCCGGGGGGCGCTAGCCGCCTTTGCCGCCGCAGACGTCGACGTCGCCGCACGCCGTAGCCGTCGTCGTCGTCGTCGTCGTCGTCGTCGTCGTCGTCGACGTCGTCGTCGTCGTCGTCGACGTCGTGGTCGTCGCCGCCGTCGTCGTCGACGTCGTCGCCGCCATCGCCGCCGTCGTCGCCGTTGTCGCCGTCTGTCGTCGTCGTGCTCCTTCGTCCTCCTTCTCCTGTCCTTTCGGGCGTGAATGGTTTGGAGCGTTTCCTCCTCCACCCTCCCGTCTTCCACCGTTTCTGGGAGAGGTTTACCTCTCCCCCTCCCACCCTCTGGGTCTGGAGGGGGTGTTCCGCGAGGGGTTGGAGAGTCCAATATGGCCTCGGCGAAAAGCCAACCTCATTGATTTTACTACGACGTAGGCCAGATGTTGGCCTCTTGGGGGGTTCGGGGGGCCCTAGTGCACTTCGGCCCCTCATTTGATCGATCTCGTCCAAGATGGCCCCAAGATGGCGCCCGATGCTCCCTAGGGTGCCCCAAGACAGCCCCAAGAGATGCCCAGGAGGCCCCAAGATACCCAAAAGAAGCCACCACGATGCCCCGAAACGGATCCCAAGAGGCCCCCAAGATACCCCGAAGAGGCTCCCAAAATACCCCCAAGACTCTTGCAAGGGGCCACCCCCCGGCACCCCAAACGCCCCAATATATCTCGGCGAGAAAGCCAACCATATTGTTGTTGTTTGAAGTAGAGGTGGGGTTGTTGTTTTCCCTGGACACCCCGCGAACAAGAACATGGAGCCACCCACATCATCATCATCATCATCATCATCATCATCATCATCATCATCATCATCATCATCATCATCATCATCATCATCATCATCATCATCATCATCATCAGCATCATCATCTTCCTCCTCCTCCTCCTCCTCCTCCTCATCCTCATCAGCATCATCACCAGCAACATCATCATCATCATCATCATCATCATCATCATCATCATCATCATCATCATCATCATCATCATCATCATCATCGTCGTCGTCATCATAAGCATTATCAGCATCGCCACCATCAGCATCACATTACCGCACAATCATCATCACCATCACCATCACCATCACCATCATCACCGTCCCTTTCCTTCATCACTCACACATTCACACACCCCCACACTCATGCACTCACACATTCAAGATAGTCATCACCGTCATCATCATCGTCACTCAGTCTCGCACTCACTCACTCACCCACTCATCGTCAGCACCATCATCATCGACATCACTCTTACGCCCATTCACACTCACACACAAACGCCAACACACACACACACACTCACACAGTCACACGCTCATGCGTTCATCTCTCGGAAATCTAATGCTTGTCTGTGAGTAACCTGTGAGGAAATCTCAGGCTGCCCCCTTCCTATCTCCAATGGGGCCTGAACTGCAGATTGGCAACCGGAGCGGGTTATCCATTTCCTCTAACTGTCGTCACTTTTGGGCCCCGCGTTTTAGAACGCCTCGGGCGGGAACCTCGTTTGTGAGTGAATTGCGGTGAAATCTCAACTGGGGCCCCCCTCCCCATGGAACCCGCAGTTCATGTTGGCAGTGGGAGCGGGCTACCCAAATCCTCTAAGGGTCGTCGCGTTTTCTTGGCCCCTCGCGCCTGAGTTTCGAAGAGAAGTCAGTCAGGAACCTTCTTTGCGAGTGAATTGCGAAGAAGCCTCATGCCTGAGCCCCCTCCCTATGGAGCCCACGCTTCATGTTGTAATCCGAGGGGGTCGCCCTAGTCCTGTAACTGTCGTCACTGTAGGGCCCCTCGCGCACGAATTTTCTAGGAACCCTCAGGCGGGACCCTCGTTTGTGTAATCCGAACGGGTCGCCCAACTCGTGTGACGGCCGTCACTATTGGATAACCCTCAGGCGGAAACCTCGTTTGTGAGTGAATTTCGAGGAAGTCTCAAACGGGAGTCCCTTCCCTATGGGGGCCGCGCTGCACATTGGCAATCCGAACGGGTCATGCGAAACCTAAACCTGTCGCCAATTCTGATTTCCCCCGCCAGGATTTAATCTTGAGGAAGTCTCAGGCGGGAGTCTCGTCTGTGGATGAATCGTGAGGAAGTCTCGCGCGGGAGCCCCCTCCATCTGGGGCCCGCAACTCCATGTTAGAACCGAACGAGTCCTCGGGATCTCGTAGCTGTCGTCGTTGTTGGGCTCCTCAAGGATGAAGGATGATGCGAGCCGTTGTGGACCAATCCGAGCGGGGTCACTTTTGTGCTCTTAAGAGGGCCACCCGCTCGGCTGAGCCCAATCCCCCTACGCGGGGATGGCGTCACCATCGACTGCGCCAGGGATGAGGACGTCGGTCGCACGGGCATGTCGAGCAATGGTGGCTGCACCTCCACGTCATGTTCTCCCGCGCCACGTGCGTGCGGAAGATGCTGATCCTGCGGCTGCCCACGCGAAATCCTGGAGCGCGGGGCGCCGGCGTCCTTGCGCAAGGCGCTCTGGAAGTCCGAGGAGATAGCGGAGAGCTCCAGAACCGAGGCGGAGAGGCTCGCAGCACGGCTTGGCTTCGCGCTGACCCCCGCCTGAGCGCATCCGCGCTAACCTCGAGGCCCGCAGTGTTGTCCCAACGGACTGGCCCGCGGGGTTGTCCCAGAGGCATGGCCCGCGAGACTGCCCCAAAGGCTTCGCGATCTAACTGTCGGCGCACGCGCGCGTGCTGGCCGAGGCGGCGACGGCGCTGAGGAAACTCGACTTGCTTGCCCCGACCTGGGGGAAAGGGGAGGTGCATGGAGAAGACGCAGGAGGAGGATGAGGGGGAAAGGGGTAGGGGGAGGGTGATGATGAGAAGGAGGTGAAGGAGGAGGAGGAGGAGGAGGAGGAGGAGGAGGAGGATACATAGAAGGAGGAAGAGAAGGAGAGGGCAGAGCAGAGGGCGAGAGGAGGGTGTCCGCCAGGGCGAGGAGGAAAGGGCTAAGGGCAAGCCAAACCAATTCTCACGTGGGGTCCTACCGTCGGAGTAATGTATGCTTGTTTTCGTCTTAAGACCTTAGCAAGTACAGGCGCCCCAAGATAGCCCCAGCATGGCCTGCGAGGCCCCTAGGGTGCCCCAAGACGGCCCCACGAGGTACCCAGGAGGCCCCAAAGGCCTCCAAGAGGCCCCGAAAATGCCTCCAAGAGGCTCCAAAGAGACCCCCAAGACGCCGCAAGAGGCCCGCCAGAGGAACCCAACACGCCCAGCGAAGCCTCGGCGAGAAAGCCAAACTGATCGATTTATGATTGAGGTGTTAGCTAAGTAAGGAGCCCCTCCTTTGATCGATTTCTTCCAAGATGGCCCCATCATGGCCCCCGAGGTCCCCAAGCGTGCCCTAAGACGGCCCCAAGAGGAGCCCGGGAGGCCCCAAGAGACCCCCACGAAGCCCCCAAGATGATGCGCCCAAGAGGTTCCATAGAGAACCCCACGAGAGGCTCCAAGAGAACCCCCAGAAGCACCCAAGACGCCTCAAGAGGACTCCCAGAAACTGTCGAAAGAAGTCCGAAGCTACTCCGGGAGGCATCCAAGGATGCCTCTGGCCTTTCTGCTCGCCCTTCTCCTCTTCCTCTTCTTGACCCGCCTGTTCCTCCTCCTTCTTCCTCCCTCCTCTCCCCCTCCTTCTTCCCCTCCTCCTCCTCCTGCTCCTCCTCTGATTCCTCCTCCATCATCTCCCTCGTGGGGTAAGATGTCTTACCCATCCTTTTATTCCACTGCATCCTTGTCCACATTCCTGGTCAAGGCAACTCCTCTGGGCATCGTTTCTGGATGGGCTCGTGGGGTTACGAAAGCGTCTACAATCATATACTGTCTATGATTATAGAATATCTCAGGGACAAGGGAGACTGAGCAGGAACAGGACGAGGATGAGGTGGTGTTGAGAAGGGGGATCGTGCGGAGGAAGAGGGCTGGGGTAAACCCAGGGTGTGTCAGCGATGCTGTGCTACACCTTCCCGTCCCAAGTCCCCTGCTCATAAGTGTCCTCACAAGTATCCGTTCCACTGCGGGCAGCGCCTCCCCTGAAGACACGCGACGCAACACCCTACCATTTGAGCGAGAGCCCTTTTGAGCTGCCCTCCAACTTTGAAACACAAGACCTCCCCTCGGACCCCTGCCATGCACCATTCTGGCCACTGTTCCGAGCATCGCCAAGCCGCGGTGGCACAGGCTTCCTAGAGGGCAAAAGGCTTCACTAACGAACCAGAAGCACGGACGAATACTTGGGATGCCCAACCTGGCGGCTTCTTTGTTCCCTCCCAAGCGACGGCAACTGCAGCATGTCAACACGCGTGACTGCGCCATGCGAACCTGTAGAGGCGAACCCGCCAGCATATAACCGACGAATCGATGGACCAGGTCGTGGCTTGGGAGAGATCGCATGGGCGGGCGTGTACCAACAAGCAGATGGAAAATTGGTGAAACGTCCCCACCGTGATTGTAGACGTGCGCCTTGGAAAACAGAGCGGCGCGGTCCAGGAGGTGCGTAGAGACGACGGAGATGTGCACGAGACTATCTATCGACGCTCCCAGCCGTTGCTTTCGCCATGCTTGTGCTATGTGCGCAGGCTGCCCGATGCCCGCTCTAGGTGGGTATGCCGCGCACCGACTGATGCATTTACGTCCAAATCTGCCCTGCCCCATGTAACAAGCGATAACAAAACATAGTCAGAAACCAAAGGGCCCAAATACGTACGGCTACTAATCAAAACTCATCCCTGTTGTCTTCGTCCCCGACGTCTGGCAGATCCTCATCTTCGTCGACGCCGTCATCGTCAAATGCGACTCCGTCGTCTCCTCTGGCTGCGGCCGCCTCTGCTGCCTTCTTCGCCTTTTCCATTTTCTTCTTATGAAGAATTCTTACTTGCTCCTTTGCCGCCTCGACCTTCCCAGCGATCCGCTCCAGCGCCTTTGAGAACTTATGCCTCATGCCAAGGGCTTTATCCATGGCTGCGACGTCAGAGCTGTCGGCTGCCTTCTTCATCGTCGTGGCGAAGAGGCGGAGCCCGCTGAAGACGTCGTGTGGATAATCAGCCGCCTTGGCCAGGTCCTGGTAGATCACCTCGCACTTCTTCCGCTTGCCCTCGACGCCCTCCGCGTCCCCGGCGAGCTCCCCCTCGTGCCACAGCTTGGCCACGTCGAAGATCTCCCGCATGCCGAGGATCAGCTCCCTGCTCTGCGCCCCCGCCGTGTGGCCTGCCGGGTAGAGCCTCGCGAAGGCGGGCGGCAGGTGCACGTGGTCCGCCGCCGCAGGCCGCGCCCCCGCGGCCGCCAGCGCGAGCGCGAGGCGGCCCAGCATGGCGACGCGGGCGCGCCCGCGCGGGCGGCCTCTGCCGGCCGGGGCCCTCGAGCCCAAACTGGCTACTCAGTCGTCTGGCAGGGCTGGGGAGAAGCACGCAGCTCGAGCGGAGGGTCGACCACGTCTGGGCCGATACCCCGTCAGTCCGCACGCAGTGCGCGCAGCTGACCTATCGCGGAAACTGGATGTTCCTCGTCGGATCCATGGGAGAAGCGTCGATCCTGCGCAGATCTACGGAACGTACCTGTTGGCAGAGTCGATGTGAAGATCGAGTTTGGGGGGAAATCGATTCTGTACTCGACCCCCTGTTCGAGTGTAGTAGGCAAGCGTTGACACAAGATTGGGTTCCCGCAGAGGCGAAGGGCGAGGGAGACACACCCGACCCTTGAAGTGGGCGGGCGCCCCAAGCAGCGAAGGGACCCACTTCCAGGCATACGAAGGGACCCACTTCCACCGAGCGCCAGGCACGGGCTACGGCATATTCGTGTCGTGACGACCCAGACGTTAGGTCTCGGACACTCCTCCTCCTCCTCCTCCTCCTCCTCCTCCTCCTCAAAGCGATCGGCGGCCTTCCAGTAGCGTAGATCAGCCGATGCCCATCGATTCTGGGCCACCGGCGGCGCCGAGGGGCAACGATGGGGGGGGGGCTAGCATATGGGGGGAGCATCAACCCAGAATCGGCGAGACGTCGCCGATAGATCGGCGATAGGGCCACGATGGTGCATCCGCACATCCCAGGGCGGGGTGGTCTATCGGGCCCCTATCGGTAATGAGTGGACGATTGGAGGTCGATGCCCCCCCCCCCAGACATGCGACGGTCTGATGTTTGTCAAGACGCGGTCCCTGGAAGTCCCGACCCTTTCCCTGGGACCCGTTTTTCATCATGAATTGTTGTTTGACGGTCCCAGGGCCCAGCGAGGCCCCCCGAGCACCGAAATTGGCTAAAACCCTTCCGCCGTTTTTTTCACGACGCGACCATGTCTGGGCCCCTACTCCTGCCCCCCCTGTCGTTGGAAAGTGCACTATGGGGTCGCCGCCGCGTGGGTACGACGCGAGCCGCGGCGGCGGCGGCGACAGGAGCCACGGTGGCGGCGGCGACGACCAAACGCCGAACGCCGGCGAAGTGTGTGTGTCCCCGACAAACGCCAGCGGCGGCGGCGACGACGGCGACCCCCCAGCGGCGTCTTCGGAGGGAGGAGGGAGGGAGGCAGAAGCAGGGAGGGAGGGGAGAGAGGGAAGAGGAGAGAGGAGGAGGGAGGAGAGGGAGGAGCAGGGAGGAGAGGAGGAGGGAGGGCGAGGCCCATAGCTCGAGGCCTCCCAAGGAGGTGGAATGGGGGAGGGAGAGGACGAGGAGGAGGAGGAGGAGGAGGAAACGCTTTCGAAGCGCTTTCGTGCGGCTGCCGCCCGACGCGCGTCTCACGGGGCCGGCCTCCCGTGCCTGCTGGCTCTCCGCGTGCGCGGGCACGCGCCCCGGTGCTCCTCCCCTCGCCGGCAGCAGCCGCCCTCCTCGCCTCGGCGCGGGGCCCCTCGGGCCCAGCTGCAGCCCTGGGGGCCGCGTGCGGCCTGCTCCACCACCGCTCGGGCGCCCCGCGCCGGCGGGGCACCCCGAGCGCCTCCTGGGGCCGATGCGCCCTGTGCTTCTCGGCCTCTGGCGCTCCCGCCGCATGCTGGCCTCGGGCTTCTCCCTCCATGGCCCGCGCCGGCGAACCTCCCCGAGCCCCTCCTGTGGCTGCTCTAGCGCGCCTGCCTTCGCGGCGGGGCTTTCCGCGATCGCGGCCGCGAGGAGGAAGTCCACTTTCTCAGCTCGGGTCCTCTGGTCCCGTGGCCTTCTCTCTCTGTCTACCCGCCCCAGGCTTGGCCCCCTCTGTGGGGCCTTGCCGTGGGGGTCGTGAGCATCCTTGCTCCACCCCCACTCTGGGCCCGCGTTGGCGTGCCACCCCGAGACCCTCCTGTGGCCGCTGGGCGTTCTCCACCTCTCGTCCACTATCTGCCTCGCTGTGGGCCCGCCTCAGGCTGCGCTCCCTCTCAGAGCCGTCTCTCAGCTAAAGGGGATGCGAGCGGCCTGGCAGCACCTCCACTCGGGGCCCGCGTCTTGGGCTCTCCTCCTGCTGCCTGGGGGGTCGCGAGCTGCCTGGCTCCACTTCTACTCGGGGCCCGCTTCCGAGTCTCGTGTCTTCGCTCCGCGTGCCTCCTCCGCCTCAGGCCCCGCCCGTCCGCGAGTTGGCCTCCCGCGGCTCTGGCCTAGGCCTGGGCATCTGGTGCCTCCTCTTGCTTCTCCTGGGGGGAGCCGTTGTCCTCACCTCCGAGGTCGTCTGCTGCCGGCGCTGCGGCTTCGGGCAGGAAGGACTTCTTCTCCTCCAACGTCCTATGGTCGCCTGGCCTCCTCTCGCAGCTTGCCCACCTCGGGCTCCGCTCTCCCGCGGGGTCCTCCTGGCGCCTCGGGGGTCGCGAACGTCCTGGCTCCACCCCCGCTCGGGGGCCGCTCTGGCGTGCCTCCCCGAACCCCTCCCGTGCCTGCGTGTGGTTTGCCCGTCTCGTCCTCTGGCATGCCTGTCTCGCGCCTCCTCCTTCTCCTCAGTCCCTGCCCGCCCGCGGGGTAGCTTTCCTGGTTTGTTTCGCCCAGAAGCGCCACTTGTGACCCCGCGGCTCCGGCTGCGCCATCGGCGTCTGGTGCTTCCTCCTGCTTCGGCCTCCCCTGTGGGCTGGCTCAGTATTCGCCTCGAGGGTATCCTGCTGCCCTCTTCTGTCGCCCTAGCAGCCGGCGCCATCCGCTGTCGCAGACGGCGTGGCCACAGCGCTGCTCCCTCAACCTTTTCCGCCACTAGTTCCGTCTCAGATGCGCCGCGCATCGCGCAGAACCAGCAGCCACCATCGAGGTCCCTCCTCAGCTTGTGCGCGGGGTGCGAAGCGACGCCGAACTTCGCGGCCGTCCGCGCCGTATTTGGCAGAAGGCCGTTGCGCTCCTTGCCCGGCCGCTCTCGCGTCGGCGCCGTCGACGCCGTGGAGCTCACCGCTCCCGAAGCAGCTGCAGAGCCAGCCCGTGCCTCTTCGGTCCTTCTTGGGTAAGAGCTTGGTGTGCGGCCTCCTGTTGGCGTCTTCTCGCAGCATGTCCTTCACCCCCTTCTTCTTAGCACTCCTTCTGCCCCCGCGGGCGCCCCCGCCCTCCTTGAGCTCCTTTTCTTCATGTGCCCCCCATGGCGAGAACGTCCTTCTTCGTGGCTGTTCTGCGCGCCCCGGCTGGGCTGGGCGTCGCCCCCGCCCACTCGACGTTGCCCATCCTCGCGCCATCGATCGCGCGCAGGCGCGCGCCGGCGTCTGCGCGCTCATCCGCTGCTTGGTGGCCCGCCCACATGTGCATGGGCGCGCCCTTCGCCGCTGCCTCCTCGTCGGTCGCGGCGCAGGTGTCCGCGCCTCGCCTTGGCTCCGCGTTTGCCCGGTTCCGCTGGCAAGCCCTCGCGCCGAGCGCGCGAAGTGACAGCGGCCCCACCCTGGCCCCGAGGGCGAGGGAAAAGGTTCTGACTCGCAAAACGCGACGCAGTCCGAGTCAGCCCGTGGCGACGCTGACCCCGGTGTCGGCTCGAGGAGCACCGCCGCTGAGGATCCGGACCATTGGCGTAACGTGGCAGCGCCCTGACGCCTGCGCCAGTCGCTCCGGGTGCCGCCTAACTTCGCGCCGGGGACCCGCGACTCCCCATGCGGCGCCCAAGTCTCCAGCCCGTCGGCTTCCCCGTCGTCCATGATGGGATGGGTCCACCTGCAGACCCCGGGCAGCCCGCGCTCCAGCTTCGGCTTTGACGTATGTCCACTATGATGGTAGTCCCTGCGACTGCCCACTACGCCATGGTCTTCGCCTTTCCTGGATGGGTGGCCCCCGCCGCTCGCTGCCGAGCCCGCGAGCGGCAACGTCGAGCAGGCGGGCGGCTCGAGGGGCGCCGCCGCTGGCGGCCTCGGCCCAAGGCAAAACGCGGCCGCAACCCGACGCCCCCGCGAGTCGCGCAGCTTCTCGTAGCGGCCGCGGTTCTCGAACATGGCGACCTCCTCTGAGCCCGCGTTGTGGGCCAGCTTGGGCGCCCGAGGCTGTCTGGCGATGGTGTCCCGCGGGAAGGTAGTCCAGCCTGCAGCGTGCGATTGCGCTTCCCATCTCTCGTTGTCTAGCTGCCCCTCCTCCCTGTGCGCGCCCGTGTCCGCCGCCCCCTTGCCAGCTCCGACCTCTGCTTCCTCTTGTTGCGCAACGCTTGCGCGCGCGCGCGACGGCCTCCGCGCGCGTGCAGCCTCCTCGTCGCCCTCCTGCCAGTGAGGTTGGGCGCCTTGCCTCTCCTCGGCGGATGCGGGGAGCCCTTCCCTTCGGATCGTGACATTGGGGCCTCTGTGCGGCCTCCACAGCACGTCGTAGACCGCCCCCACGCCCGCGACCAGCCCGCCCCCTGCTTCGTCTGTCAGCGCGCAGTCGACTAGCGGCGGCTCCTGCCCTGTAAGGTAGCAGGCGCGGTGATCGTCTGGCACTGCGAGGCTGGTCTCCGCGCCCGTCGCCTTCGGCCGCCCCGTGGCCCGCGATGCCCTTGGGCCCTTGTCGAAGCTCCCGCTCGCGACCCACGCTGGGCTGATCTTCTTCAAGGACGCCGCCGCCGGTGTGTGCTCGCGGCTGTTCTCTCCTTCCTCCAGCGCCTCGTCGCAGTCGAATTGGCCGGGCGCCGCCACTTGCGCCGCCCCCTTCAAATGCAAAGCCGCTGGCGTCCAGTCGCACATGTCGCGTCCCACTTCTCGTCCGGGTCCTCTGCGCATTGCCGCCGTGGCCTGCGTGGCCTGGCTGGCCTAGGCGGGGTGCCTGAAGCTCGCGACGCGAAGGTAGCCCTCCGCGACTGTCGCGGCGCCACCGTCGGCGTCGTTGGTCGCCTTGTTGCTGCCCAGCTCCGCTGAGAAGATGCCCCTGTGCCCCAACTATGCCAGTTCAGTCTCCGAGTCCTCCAGCTTCGCCTCTGGCACGTGCATCTCCTGTAGCGCCAGCATGTCGAAGCCTTTCCCGCGCGCCCCTGGTTGGCTAGCCACAACTTGGCTGCGGGCCCCCATGCAGACGTGTTGGCGCAGAACGATGTGCGCTCGCGGGCGGAAGCGTCGCCAGCCAACAGCCCCGCGCCTCCGCCCTCGCACGCTGTCCTGTCGTGGGGGGCATGGGCACGTCTGCGCCCTTGTCCGCCGCCTTCGCCGCCCTCGAGTTGTCCAGGTAGACCGCCGCTGCGTCGCCTCCTGCCTGGCTACCTGCGCCCGCGGGTTGGTCTGCTGGGGCGCTGACGGCCGCTGGCTGGGGCGTGGCAGCTGGCTTCGGTGCGCCTTCTGCTGCGTGTGCTGCCTCTCCTTCAGCTGCTTTCCTCGTTTGCACCGCCTGCGCGATGACCTGCCGCTGCTGCAGCGCCGCGATCTTCGCCTTGGTTATGTGCTCTCTCAGGTGGCCCTGAATGGCCTTCGCACTGTCCTGCATCTGCTTCACCACGTTATTCCTCGCCTCCTCGGCCTGCTTCATCTCTTTCTCGTCGATGTCCTCGCCCTCGAGGTCAAGGTCGAACTCTCGCCCACTGTCGGCCGCCAGCTTGCCTTCGGAGAGCGAGCCCAGGCTGCCCGCGACCAGCTGCTCCAAGATGCCTGTGGGGCTTGAACGCATTCGTTCTGGATGGCTGCGCACTCCGCCTCCGCCTTCTTCACCGCCGTCGCCTTCTCCTCGATCAGCTCGCGGGCCTTCCTCACCTCGTCATCTGCCTTCGTCTTGACAGCGTGGGAGGTCTGGTACTGCTTGATTGCTGCTTGCGCAGCCCTCGCCGCCGCCGCCAGCCGCTCGGAGCGCGTCGTCTGCGGCGGTGGTGGGGTCGCCGCCTTCAGGGCCGACGCCGCTCCCTGCAGCTGCTGGCTGATGGCGCCGGCGCCTTGCAGCTTGAGGGTGTCCAGCGACGCCGTGATCAGCTGCAGGGCCTGCGCTGGTTGCTCGGGTTCCTGGCCCCTGCCGCTGCCGCTCGCCTTGCCGCCGCCTTCGCCGCCTCCCTTGGTCTTCTCGCTCTCCTTCTGCCGGCCGCCGTCCTTGTTGCCTGCGTTCGTCTTGGGCCTCGCCACTCGACAGCCGCACGAGCACCAGAAGTCCTGAGCCTCGAGCTGGCCGGGCCACCGCCACTTCTGGCAGTGCGTGCGCGGCGCCCACTGGGCGGACCTCGGCGCCATGCTTCCGCGGTGGGTGTCCAGCACGCTCCCCGCGTGCTCCTGCCATTGCTCTCTGCGGGCCTGGCAGCGCCTCCGCCCGAGGCGTCCGTGCCAGGCAGCCGGGCACGAGCGCTCCTGTCGCCACGTCCCTGGGCGGGGAGCTCTCGCTCCGCGGGCGGGCCGCCGCGCCCGCCGCGTAGGGCAACATGCATGCGGGGGGAGGGGGCCGCGCTGCGAGCCACCTGGGGGGAGAGGAGGAGGAAGGAAGGAAGGAGGAGGAGGAGGAGGAGGAGGAGGAGGAGGAGGAGGAAAAAACAGAGGGAGGAGGAGACGGCGGATGATTTTGATGATGCTGATGATGATGCTGATGATGATGGTGATGATGCTGATGATGATGACGATGATGATGCTGATGCTGATGCTGATGATGCTGATGATGCTGCTGATGGTGATGATAATGATGATGATGATGAGCTGACGAGGAGGAGGAGGAGGAGGAGGAGGAGGAGGAGGAGGAGGAGGAGGAGGAGGGAGGAGGAGGAGGGAAGGAGGAGAGGGGGAGGACACGGCGGCGGATGATGATGATGATGATGATGATGATGATGATGATGATGATGATGATGATGATGATGATGATGATGATGATGATGATGATGATGATGATGATGATGATGATGATGATGATGATGATGATGATGATGATGATGATGATGATGCTGCTGCTGCTTGCTGCTGCTGCTGCTGCTGAGGATGATGATGATGCGGAGAAGAAGAGGAGGAGGAGGAGGAGGAGGAGGAGGAGGAGGAGGAGGAGGAGGAGGAGGAGGAGGAGGAGGAGGAGGAGGAGGAGGAGAGGAGGAGGAGGAGGAGGAGGAGGAGGAGGAGGAGGAGGAGGAGGAGGAGGAGGGGAGGAGGAGGAGGCAGAGGAGGAGGAGGAGGAGGAGGAGGAGGAGGAGGTGGAGGTGGAGGCTGGAAAGGCGCTACGGCGTCTCACCCAAATGGCGCGCGAAACAGCTGGAAATAGCGGGAGGAGGCGGAGGATCAGGATCGGGCCCGTGGGGGCTTGTCTGCTGCTGCTTAGCGCCTGCCACGCTAACTGGCTTGGTGGGGCAAGACATGGAGGAGAAGGAGAAGGAGAAGGAGGAGGAGGAGGAGGAGGAGGAGGAGGTGGAGGAGGAGGAGGAGGAGTGGAGGAGGAGGAGGAGGAGAGGGAGGAGAGGACGAGGAGGAACAGGGGAGGAGAGGCGGAGGAGGAGGAGGAGGAGGCGGAGGAGGAGGAGGAGGAAGAGAGGAAGAGGAGGAGGAAGGAGGAGGCAGGAGGAGGAGAGGAGAGAGGAGGAAGGAGGGAGGGATGAGGAGGAAGGTGGAGCAGGGAGGGTAAGGCCCAGAGTCGAAGCTGGAGGGGGAGGAGAAGGAGGATGGAGGAGGAGAAGAAAGGATGAAGGAGGAGGGCGGAGGGAGTAGGAAGGGGGAGGAAAAGGAGGGAGGAGGAGGAGGACGAGAAAGGAGGAGGAGGAGGAGGAGAACGAGGAACAGGAGGAGAGGAGGAGGAGGAGAGGAGGAGGAGGAGGAGGAGGAGGAGGAGGAGGAGGAGGAGGAGGGAGGAGGGAGGAGCTGATGGAGCAGCCCCCGACGGCGTCCTCCGAGCTCTCCGGCGGCGCCCCGCCCGCGGACCCCCGCGCGCGCGCGGCCATCCGGGAGCACCGCGCGGGCCTCGGCGCGGCCCCGACGGGGGCGCGGGGGCGCGGCACCTCCCTCTGAAGTGCCTCCTCCCTCCTCCTCCTCCTTCCCTCCTCCTCCTCCTCCTCCTACTCCTCTCTCCTCCTCCTCGCCGCTTCCTCCTCCTCCTCCTCCTCCTCCCGCCGCCCTCTCCTCCTCCTCCTCCTCCTCTTATCTCCTCCTCCCTCTCCTCCTCCTCCTCCTCCTCTTTCCTCCCCCCTTCTCGTGTTCTCCTCGCCTCCTCCTGCTCCCTCTCCGCCTCCTCCTCCTCCTCCCTCCTCCTCCTCCTCGTCATCATCATGCTTACTCCTCCCCCCTCCTCCTCCTCCTCCCTCCTCCTCCTCCTCCTCCTCCTCCTCCTCCTCCTCATCATCATCATCATCATCATCATCATCATCATCATCATCCTTCTCCCTCTTTCTCCTCCTCCTGCTCCGTCCTTCGCCTTCTTCTCCTGCTCCGTCGTTTTCCCCCTTCCTCCCTCCTCCTGCGTTCCTTTACCTGTTGGGCAACTCCTCCAAGTCGTACCCCGAGGCCAATCGGAGGGATGGGGCGGGCGTTTCGCATGATAGCCCCCCCAGCACTCATGGTTCTGAAGCAAAGAAATTGGCAGACGTTTTGCGGATGGAGAGCGGGTCTTTTTTCTGATAGTGGTTCTCGTCCCAGCGCCGCGCGCTTGCGTTTTTAAATATGTAAGGAGTTTAACGGATGGAAGGCGGATGGTTTCAACATGTGGCTCCCTCCTTAGCGCGGCGCAGATTCGCCGTCAAAGTTCGTAAACTTTCAAGGGATGGACGACGGGTCGTTTTCAAAATGTGGCTCTCGCCTGGGCGCCGCGCACACCCGTGGTAAACACGTCCAAGAATTCTGCGGATAAAAGGCGGCCGTCTACAAACTGTGGTTCTCGCCCTGGCGTCGAGCACAGTCGTCTTGAAAATTCGAAGCGCTTCGCAAATGCGCCGTGCACATTCGTTTCAAGAGTTTACAACTGTTTCAGAGATTCTCATTGTTAACGTCCCAGTCATGGTGTTTCGGCACGATGTCGGACTGCCAGGGCGCAGCAACTACGTTGATTCTTGGATGCCAGGAGTGGTAGTCTGGCACAGGCGCAGGGGTAACGCTGATTCGCGGCGTAAAATGCCCAAGAATGGGGTTCTGGCACAGCTTTCAATTTACAACGGGGCACTTCCTTCACTGAAAATGAACCCCTGTAGGGGCCCATGAAGAGGGAACTTGGAGGGATGATTCAGTTCAAAATCGCCGATGCGTCTTGGGTTTGCACTGGTCGTCCTCCTCCACCTCCTCCTCAAGCAGAGCTTCACGGATGGAGGACAGGTCGTTTTCAAAATGTGGCTCTCGCCCTAGAGCCGCACGCATTGTTCTTTTAAAGATGGCCAGAACTTCGCGGATGAAGAGCGGGCCGTTTTCAAGACGTGGCTCTCGCCTTACCGCCGCGCGCATTCGTTGTAGACCATGCAAAGAGCTTCTCGGATGGAGACCGGGTCGTTTTCTAGATGTGGCTCTGTCCTAAGCGCCGCGCAAATTTGATAAACAACTCTGTAAACATCGCAAGGATGGAGGGCGAGTTGTTTTCAAGATGTGGTTTTCGCCTGCGCATCGCGTGCATTTGTTTCAACGAGCTCTCGACAGTGTTAGCGGCTCTCATGCCTAACGTCCCAGGAATGGTGTTTTGGCACGTTGTCGGACTGTCAGGGCGCGACACTTACATTGACTCGTGGTTTGAAGTCCCACGAACGGGTCTGGCACGATTCAGGATCGTCAAGACGCAGCAGTAACGCTGATGCGCGGCGTTGAAGTCCCAAGAGTTGTGGTTTTCAAGCACAGTTCAGGATTTACACACAGTTGTTTTCCAACGGGGCACTTGCTTCAGTGAGAATGAACCCTTGTAGGGGCATGGGAGGGAGGGCTTATGGAGCGGAGGGGAGGGAGGGGGGTGGAGGTTGGTCCCAGCCCGTTGGCCCTTGGGCAGCAGGGACCCGTGGGGATATACTATCACGCTATCGTACGCGGGCCCCCTCGCGGTGACCCCCTAGCGGTGACCCGTTGGAACGCGCCGTACTGTGCGCGTGCGTCGGCCGTGCGGCGCCGTACGCGCGCCGCATTTGCCGCTGGGGGAAGGGGAGGAGCATTGAGAAGCCGGGAAGGGGGGAGGAACTGAGAGGGGAAAGGGCTCGGAGGATAAGGCGACACCGGGACAATGATAACGTCGGGTGACGACACTTCGAGAAAATTTGAGGTCAGGCGGCGCTGGAAGATGTCTCTGGCGCCGCGGCCGTTTCAGAGCGTTCGGGAACGCTCTGAGAGCGTTCCGGAACGCTCTGGAACGGATGCACCATTGTCCTAGCCCAGGCCGGTAGGAAGAGGGGAGTGGAATAGGGAGGGGGGAAACAGGGAATAGGGAAGAAGAGGAGACCCAAAGCAAACCCAATGTGCATCAACGATGCTGCAAGACACCCTGCAGTCCCAACTCCCCTCCCATTGAATCTCTACGTGCCTTCCTTGCTACTGAAAAACCCTTTCGAAATACTCGGCAAAACGTATCCCTGGAGAGGATGGAAGGGGATATTTTTGAGAGGGGAGGAAGAGGGAGGAGGGGGAGGAGCGAGAGGCCTCAAGGGGGTTCGTGGCCAGAGGCGGCGGCGGCAAGGCGTTGAAGGAGGAGGCGGCAGAGTCGGGGTTGTTCTTTTCGTATCGATGCCTCACTGTGCCTGAAGAACGCAGCAGCAAATCTGCTGATGTGCGGCCAACGTCAAAAGAGGAGGAGGAGGCGGAAGAGGAGGCGGAGGAGGAGGAGGAGGCAGAGCGAAGAGACGAAGAGTAGGCAGAACGAGGAGCAGCACGGCAGCGCGGAAGAGGGCGGGGAGGAGAGCGAGCGGCCCCGGCCCCCCGGCGGGGGCGCCGTGGAGGGAGCCCTCGCAGGAAAGACAGACCCGAGGTCGTGCCTCGGGACTCTCGGGGAGCGGTGGATGTGAAGATCTGCCCGTGATCGCGTCGGAAAAAACTGTGCGAGCGGGCAGATTTGGCACCCAGAGATTATCGCGTCGGAAAAAGCACGACGGACATTTTTTTCCGATGTTCGGTCTCCCGGGGCCCTCGCTGAGACCCAAGACTGCCAAAAATGACTCAGAATGGCAAACCGGTCCTGGGGCATGGGCCGAGACCTCCAGGATCGACGCCATGAACAAATCAAGACGTCGGGGGTCTGGGCGGCACACGCGCCATTAAACAATCTCGCTATAAGAAACACGTGGGCACATTCTTCAAGGGTCTGTCAAGGCCCCCGGGTGCCCCAACCCGCCCCTGGAGGCCTCCAGCCTCCGGCCCGCGCCCCGGCCCCGACCCCAGCTGCGGCCCAGGCTGCGATTCCGCTGGAATCATTCCGATCGCGGCTCTAAACATAAACTTTTGGCGCTGCGCGGAGCGCGCCAGGGGGGGGGGAGTCCAGCGCGGATCCAAGAAGCCCGCGCGGAGCGCCAAAAGTTTACTATTCATTTCTAATCGTGCTCATTTCTAATCGTGCTCGTTTCTAATTGTTCCTGGCCCCCTAGTGGCCAGGAAGAGGCCCAGGATAGAATAATTAGAAATGAACGGATCTTGGCCCCCCAAAACATGAAACAACTTCCGAAGGATCGGCATTGAGCAATGTGTATGTTTATGTTATGCAGCTTCTGTTCGGCCTAACGGCCCCGACCCCCAGCCTGGGCCGACCCAGGGGCCAGCCCCGGCCCGGCTCCTTCTCCGCCCGCTCTGTGGGCGCTCGGGGACAGGGCACTTCCGGGGAAGCACGCGCTGGCCTGCTGGCCCCTTCCTCGGTGCGCCTGCTGCAACCCCCTAGTCCACCAAATTGGCGGCGCGCACCAGGGGGTGGAGGGAGGGGGGAGGGCTTCGTAGAAGGAGCCTGCTTCTTAGAAGGCGCCGACCTTACATCTGTAGATGAGGCCCGCGCCTTCTAAGAAGCAGGGGTGCTTCTAAGAAGCCCTCCCCCCTCCCTCCACCCCCCTTCTGCGCGTGGCTGACAAATCCTCGCGGCCCAAGGGCACG